CACTGGAAGTGTTCAAGGTTGGATGGGGCTCTGAGCAACTTGATCTAGTGAAAGATGTCCCTGCCCGCAGCAGAGGGGTTGTTGGACAAGATGATCCTTTAAGGTCCCTTCCAATCCAATCCAATCCAAACCATCCTACAATTCCATGATTCTACCTGCCCTATAATCTCATCTCTGCCTTTCCTGGCTATCACCCACACAAAGCTGGTCTGGTTGGAAGAACAAGGAAGCATCCACCACATAGTGCCAAGAGCCAAAAATATACAAAATACAGAAAGATGATCATACAGACAACCATAAGGTCCAGCACACTGGAGCCTCGGATCCTCGTGTAAGCGGGAATGACAGGCCCACATGAGCAGTACACAAGGGCTGCTTAGAGAAAGGCTTAACTTTTGCAGAGTTGGCTACTGCTCAGGAAGGGAGAGAAGCTCTCCTCTGAAAGCTCTCTGATCTCAGACCCACCTCTTACATAGCTCTACATTACTGACTTCAATGACACTTTGATGCATTTCCCTCTGGAGATTTTTTTCCCTCAGATCTTTTTGGAAGCCATCTACCCCAGTTACAGAGCTCTCCTCCTCTCTCTGCTCCACACATAACAGACACAACAGGACCCTCTACATAAATTGCACAAAATTTAAATTGTTTCAGAAACTGCAAACTCAGCATCTGTGGACATACACATTCCTTAATGATTTCCTCAGTACTGTATGTGCTGCTAAAGACTTTTCAACCCCTTCACCTCAGGAAGCATATATTTAGAGTCATGTGTGGGCAAAGATCTATTTTCTCAGAGAACTAATGTCCTAGCTTGAAGCTTAGATAAATCAATAGCCCTCAGATAAAAGCATCTTAATACCCTTGAGACAAGTCCAGAAGAATTTCTTTCCAAATGAAGAAAAAAAGTAATAGTTTTATACCTTTTTCTGCCATTTTGTAAGCCAAGCAAATGCGATTAATTTGTGTTCAGAGTTAATTAAGTAGTCTTTGGAGACCATCAAGGTTTGACATGTCATCTGCCTTTCTATGCTAGGAAAGCAAACAGTATTGTTGTGCAAGTCATTGGTTTCCAGGACAGTAGCTCCTTCAGCGGATAAACTCTTCCAGCTCATCCAAATCCCATTTTCTCCACAGGGTCTCCTTTTAAAAGCCCCCTTGGCCCAAAACACAGGCCCAAGAAAGTAACCCATTCTAGTCTATGCAGGCTCATTTACTTTCTCTCCCTATTAAAGGCCCAGTCATCATCTCTACCCAAATGGAAGATGAGGACCAGGTTCTCTCATTTGTCCAATGTCAATACCATTAAGTACTTAAATATGATGAAAGCCTCTCCATACTTGGGAAAAAGCTCCATGGTTACCTTTCAATTATCCACCAAACTGTGTTCTGATAATCCCCAGTGTGGGATGGAGTATCAGCAATTACAGTAATTCATCAATAATTATTTCAGTAAAGGTGCTACAGGAGTGCCACACCAATGACAGAGCTGCATACACACGTAATTGTTGTAAAGTACTTATGGAGACATAGCTTGTAATTTCCTTCCTTCTTTCCTACCTGTTCCCACAGACCAGTGAATTACCAACACTTAACAAGTCTGCCTGCTTGGAAGATATGACTATCCTTGGTGAAGGAGATGCAACAGGGTCCTCCAGACATAGAAAGCACATTTCAATGCTTGCTACTCCCCTCTACATTCACCTCTGGGCTGTGTTACATTTTACTTTCTAGTAGACAAATCACTTCAGTTAACAGCTTACAGAAGAAGATAGCTTGTCCAGATCTAAGAGTTTCACAGGTATATTGAAGGGGACCACTTAAGACTTACAAAGATCAGAGAAAAGTAAAGACTTGAAGGGAGCAGTGCATGTATAAAGAGACCATTTCTCCAACAACAGCTATCTGCACTCATACAATGGAGTTGCTGGTCACATAAGTCTACGACTAGTGGTCTCCTGATGAAAATAGTAACCCTTTCAACTCAATTTCAATTTCTTCCAGAACAGCCAAAGGATGTCAGGATGTCACTCAGGTGTCTGTGGTCTTTTACAGAGTCTGAAACAAAGAACAGGAATTTGCAAAAGAAGGAAAGTATGATGTACAGTCTGAGCACAAAAATCTATGTTTCAGCTATAATGAAAGGGTGTTCCTGCAAGAAGCAGGGCGATGTGAAACCAAGCAGGACATCAGTGGAAAAACAGGCACCTGACTTCTATGGCAAACTGTACATCATCGCATTCAACATTTCACTGTGGACAGCATCCCGGGATGGGAGATGGGGGGGAGCAGGGAGAAAAATGGGAGGAAAAAGCACTGAAAATCAGAACATTTGGACTCACCTGAAATCCCACCCACTGCAAGGACCCAAGATGATCACTGACCCCAGGCCAAATACACTCCACTGAAGTGCCTTGTTAGTCCTTCCCAGAACCAGTGTGTAAGTTTGCTCTCTCCTTTACAATGGGGTGAAAGTCCCCCTCGTGCAACAACTCAGCAGCAGCAGCACTTGCACAGAAAGGGGAGGGAACTGGGACCACTTGCTCCCTCGCACGAAGATGCTCAGGGCCCGACCTCCTGGAGAAAAGACCCAGACACGAGGCAGCTGCCTTCTGCAGACACCAGGAGCCAGTGCTCCCACTCAGACACGAGCCATGTTGTGCAGGCAGGGCTCCATCAGAGAAGGTTACTAGGCAGAGATTGCATTAGGTGTTAATATACAAATGTACACTAACCCAGTAAGTTAAGAGCAGATGATTTTTTTCCCAACTGTGCCTTCCAGCACACTTTGCTCAATGGAAAGAAAACTAGAGGAGCTGCTGTATTTATTAATATCTGCAGACTCACTACCATCATAGTTGGGCAGCCTAACTGCTCAGAAGATTATTCCAATGATTCAATTGCACTGCAATACAAATACAGATATCTGCATGAAGTGGGCTGCAAAGTACTAAAAATTAAGATCTAATTAAGTTATACATTTGTGCATCATTGCCCTCTCTATTAGAGTTTGGAAAATTGAAGGCAACATGCTATTATACATCATGTGCTATTATTCACATAAGTGCCTAAATTACAGATTTTGGGAGATACTAGTTCTGTGCTTATTAAAAAGCCATTTAATTCATCATAAAATACACAGGCTTCTTTCAAGATTGAAATAGGAAACATGAAAGCAACATCTGAATAGCAAGTCTCAATCAGAAATTTTTTCTGCTGCCATAACAACAGTTTTTCCCTCTAGATTTTGGTTTGCCCCTTCACAGTGAGCCACAGCAGGGGCTGGAGGAGTTTCTGAAGTCTAATTCCTGCTCTTCACATTTACCTTCTTTTTTTAAAAAAAAAAAAAAAAAAGGCATGCTGAGTACAAACTGTGACAGAAGTTCACATGTGCTCAGAAAGCTCTATAAAACTGCTGATACAAACCAAATAAGAACAAAGTTAAAGGACCTGAATAAATCAGGTTTAGTCTGAATGTTTAGACCAGAGGCTCTTGGGGATGGGGCAGGGGGGTAAACATGTGCATCGGATAGAGCAGTGATACAGAACCGGTTATTTTAGAAGGAGAGGACATCCTCAGATGTGCAAAACATGGTTAGACATGGGGATACAATCAAGTTAGACTTTGCAGCAGATGCAATGGAAGCCTTGGCCCAGCTTGTGCATACACAAACGAAGACGCCGAATAACTGTCAATCATATTGGCCTTAATCATAGAATCAGTGTTTCTGGTGGGATACAAGATTGACAGCCAAACTGCAGAAAGAATTCATCATGTGCTGAAAGGCTATGTACTTATCACAGAATGGTTTGGGTTGGAAGGGACCTTAAAGATCATCTAGTTCCAACCCTGCTGATGTTTCACACCCAGCTACCGCTTCTTGTTTTTCTTCCTTACCCTTTTCACCTTGTGCCTAATTGATTACAAGCTTGGCTAGCACTGGAATTTGTTCAGTGTCACGGTATGCTGGTTAGGAGGGGAGCACCGAAGAGGGGCTGTGGCAGTGCGGGCGGCAGGATCCCACCAGCCCCACCTCCGGCGGGGGAGCGAGGCCGGGGGCCAATGCCCGAGCCCAAAGGGCACCCCGGGGCAGCTGACCTCTGGCCCTGTGGAATCAACTGCTCTTCAGTAAAGTTATTCCCACCCTGTGAACTCCCAACACCCCAATTCAGGGTTTTATCAGCTTAGCTTTTCAGAAGTCGTTTAATGTCAGAAATAGCTTTCCAGGCACTCCCTCCCTTCTCTCTCAAAGGATTTCACAGAGCATCAGGGAGATTGAAGGAAAATTCCTCTCAGAATCAAAAGTATTTTTAAATATAAATACATATTCAAAACAGGCTAACATATTTTAAATGATTCCTAAACTGCAGTTTGTTTCATGTGAAGGGATTTATGTGTCTTTATCACAGAAGTCACAGCTGTTAAGTTAAAATGGTGTCTGATATTCCATTTTTCATCTCATCATTATTCCTTCAACAGTAATTCACATTATCCAGTGTATCTTATCTTAATAGTTGATAAGAAGTTCTGAAGTACTAATTTATACAACTTCTACTGGAGTTAAGAAGGCTATTACTGTCTTCACATCAGAGACAGATAAATTGCAGCTGCCCCAACACTGCACAACACCGAAGTCACATAAACAACATCTTTCCCAAAGTGCTCTTTTAACCATTAAATATGCATGTCCTCAGTTCGAAACGCCAGGCAGAATGAAGTCGTCCTCCACAACTAGCTTTTACAACCAAGGATGCCACACACTGCTTTCGCAGTGGTAAGAGATAGCACCAGGTTACAGTGCAGCTGGCTCCAGTGAGATGCATGTTATCCTTCAACTTCTCCACGTATTCTTACCACTCGCACTCAGTGATGTGGACTTGAAGCTCTTAAATAAGAACATTAATCTAAAACTACAGACTACATTTAGCCTGAACAGGGTCTTTGAAGGTTTCCACATCAGACATTTCAGATACAACAACTACCTCTTGGAAGCACTTACAGCAGCACCTTTCTTGTATCCTTGCAGATGGGATGGTCGTGCCTACAGCTAATCCCCAAACCTTCACTTTTTAACCTCCTCCAGCTCCTCTGCCTTAAGTCTTCAGAAATGGGGGTGGGGGGTGGTGTGAAAGTCTGGAAAGAAATGGAACAGCAAAAAAGAAAAACGTTTAAAGGAAATTTTTAGCCTTTTGTTTTGACCTGTCTTACTGTAACTTCATTAAAAACTAAGAGTGCAGATTTCACAGCACAAAAAAAAAAAAAACACAGTATAAAAAAGAACTTGTACTTTAAGGAAAACAAAAGAGGTTAGAACAGAATATTTCAATATTAATGCTTTTAAAGAGCTGAACAGGAAATTCATGAAAAGCAATCCTTAGCCATGAACATTTGGTGGTTTTCATTTAAATATACTGATGTATCACAGCTTTGATCAAACTTTTAACTGCATGTATTTCAGGGCATCAGGTAAGTTTAGAAAAGAAGTCATCTCTTTTTACTCAAGAACACCCAGAAACTTAAATTTTCAAGAAACTCTCCTCATTTCAACTTAAAGAGCCCCCACTCAGCACCAGGGAACATTTCCCCAGCACAGCGCTGCCTCTTGGATTGCAAACAAGCTGGTGGGCTTTCCCCTCCTCACTGGCCAAAAAGATCCATTCTGGGAGGAGAGGATGATGCAACACATAAGCAACATCAATCAGGACTTTCTACACAACTCTTTCTGGTTTCCGTGCAGTGGTAAGGCCAGATTGATAAAAGGTGTTGAAAGCAGCCAAAGGCACTCTGGAAAAACAAAACACCCCAGCAACAGGAGTTGAAAGCCCAACTGGACTGGGTGCGTTTGCAAATCCTGCCAGCAGCATAACGCCCATTGTAAAACATGGCTAACCTGACAAGGCAAAGGAGAAATGCTCCTGAGCACATGATATTCAAAGCCTGTGTCAGCTTAGGCTGCTAATTCTTGTTGCTTATAATTTTTTAAAAAATTGTTGGCTACTCTTTCAAGAAGAAACAGCCAGGCACTGACTCAAGGTCATTTATGAAGTCTTTTCTTGTATTAACCATCTATAATAAAAGAAGAGATGAGCTGCAAGTAAACAAACAACCAGCCAGGTGAGTTTCCCTCATGCTGATTCCTGGATGTCACACGATCCCTACAGATATATCTACGATGCTAGTTATCACCTACATGACCAAACACTACCTTGCAGCTGGCACGTGTAACACCAGTGCTAACAACTGAGGTGGAGAAATCTCCCCAGGGGCTATGGAAAGTGATGCCTTAGGGACACCTACATCTCAAATCTATCACTCAGTAAGAAAAAACAGATGCATGTCTATTTTACTATCAACTGCACAACATTACTCAAGACACCTCCCTTCACTTTTTCACCCCCAAAACACATTATGACAGTTACAAAATAATTAATATATGCCAGAATCCTTACATAAACTAGATACTGGAGCACGTCTTAAATTCTCCAGCATTGCCAATGCAGACAGATCCTTTTGTGATTAAGCACAACGTGGTTATGCAGGGAACTGAAGGCAGGCACCTTCGGGGCACAAATCCGCAACCCCCACAATCATTGGTTCTGATGTCTTGTAACACGGTTGCCTTAGCAACATAAATCATCTTATTGGTCATTAAATACTATGTTTCCATATAATGTTAAAGCTGGTCCACAATAAAGAGTTTTTCTAAATATAATCTTTTCTCCACGCAACACTAAAAACATTACTTAAATTAGGCATTTGGGTATGACCAGAGCATTTAAAAAGAAAATGAAGGTGACTTAAAAGCAACCTTTAATTATTTGTTTTGCCAAAAATAAAAAAAAAAAAAATTAGAACTCATCAGCCACATTGAACTCTCCCATCCATTTGAACTTGGAGGAAAATTTTGTACAGTAGGAAAGGTTGTATTAATCTTTCTCTATATTTGTGGTCACACGAGGATACAAGCAATGCTACTGCAGCTACCCATGGGGGAAGGAGGTATTCTGTCATGGCTGCAGTTAAAAGGTACATCTGTACAAAAAAACCTCAAATAACACTGCAAGTTTTTGTTTTCCTTGGCAGGGAGCAAAACACAAAAAGGGAGGAGGAGAGATGTTTATGCCCCAGCCCGCCAAGGCAGACTGAAATAGGGCCAAACAGCACGTGTGCTTACACCTCCTCTGCTCTGTGCCACAGCTTCCCTGCCTCTACCCCCGTTCAATCATGTACGAAACCCATTAGTAATCTTCCATTGCTGTGCTCCTGCCTTCAACACAAAGTCATGTATTTTCTGAACACTGCTCTGTATCAAACCCACTGCAGTCAGTAAGCGATTGCTAAACACTTTTGAGTCCAAACACAGCTACCCTCCTTCACAATATACTGCAGCCTGTTTTGGGAAAAAAAAAAAAAAAATAGCAAAGTCAATAAATCTTTAGCTTTGGGTAATTTTGCCTCATGTTTTGCAGCATCTTTATAGCAAAAATATAATTCTTGCTATAAAGACACACTACTTGTCAAGAGCAAATGTTTTCAACTAAATAATATCTTGACTTCAGTATTTCACCAGTCCAATTCAGTCTCCAGTTTCCCCTCATCAGAGAAGTAGTGTCTCTTGGTTCTTGGATATATACCAATTTTAAAGAAGCACCAGCTGAACCATTAGGACTAAAAGTGCACATATGAAAAACAATATCCTGAAAACTACAAAGGTCACACTGTCTGCCAGGAAAGAGCATCAAAAACGCACTCCAACTTGGCTCGTCCTTAGACACTGTCAGCCTAAAGCCAAACCAGTCGAGAACCAGATACTTCAAGCAAAAGCAAAGCTGTCTCTGGCTTGCACTCTTCGGGATACAAATGACCCAATGTAAAGACACTGTAGTATTCAGAGAAGGAGAAGACATAAATTCATTTAAACAAAGTGACATGTCTTTCAAACATGGTCCAGTCCCCACTTATGTCAGAGGGAAGTTCTATCCCATTAGCATCAGCAGGCCAAAACCAAAGTTCTGCAGGCATTAAAGTACTGCAGGCATTAAAAGGCAGTAAAATATAAAAGCAAAGCCAAAGAATCAGACACTGCTAAGCAAAATGGACAAAATTTTCTTCTGGCAGGTAAAAATGTTTTCCCAGAACATCAAATCTATGTTGTAACTTAATAGCAGCATCCCAAGACGTTCAGATTCAAATGCCTTTGAGGATATTGGGAACAACTGCTTTTAATGGAATTAAGCATGCACAATGCCACATTTAAGTCCTGACCACGAGCAACCCAAAGTTAGCACTCCTCCTCACAGTCAGTCTTATTTTACTCACCCCAATTCCAACAGGTTACTTAGAAGTAGAATACCATACATCATTAACAAGGGTGACAAACACCCTCCTTTAGAGAAAAAGAAAAAACATTTCCTACACTGTTCTTTGAGTCTAACACAGGACAGAGCTTATCACTTGAATAAAAGGTTCATCAGTGACTTCTTATATAAAATCTCAAATTGCTGCCATGCAGATTTTTAATATGGCAGAGTATTTAGGGAGGCCATCCCTTATTCTTGCTCTCATATCTTCCCTGTCTACCTTACAGAGCCGCCTTCATTTTCTATTCAGGTCTGTAAGGAACAAGAACAGACACTACTTGGGTCATTCCTCCCTGTCTTTATGGGATGGAGATGGAATAGGCAGCTCCTAACTTACCTACCACAAACTGGGAAGGCTGGTTGCACGAAACTCCCAACACTGCTCCTAGGACTGCTCGCCCTTCCCCAGCACTACATTCAAAGATATAACTACCTACCCACAGTAGGGCTACACTGACATTTAAAAGATCAGGGAGGGGATATGGTGCTTGGTATTTTTAGGTAAGACAACTATAAAACACAAACTAACACACAGCCTCACTATGCACTAAATTCAGATAACAACAGCATTTAACAAATAGAGATGTATTGTGCAACCTTCTTTATTTAACGTACTGATATTACAATTATGTATGCAGTAAAGTCCGTGCAGCAAGCAGAGAAAAATCAAAACTCTGCTGATGCTTTTTGAATCCACCTCCTGGTGAGGTCCAAGAGGCCAAATGGGAAGCTGCATCCACAGCCTGGGAAACTCCCTAGACGCAAGCGGTCCAAAGCATGGGAACTATAGAGCATTCTTCCCCTTTCCCAGGCTAAGTAAGCCAGTCCAGTCATCCTTAGTGTCACTTCCAAAGACAATTAGCAAAGTCTCATTTCAATTAGCTTTTCCAGTGCCACGAGCACAAAGAAGAGTACTGTACAACTTTGGAAAGAAAAAGTGTGATAAAAAAAAAAAGGCAGACTGAGGTGGAGCTGGAAAGGAAACTGGGAAAAACCAGAGAAAACAAGAGACAAGAAATCCCAGAGCACCTCCCTGCAAAATGTGGGGTACTAGTTGGGACAAAGCCAATGCGTGTGTTCAGAACGAGGAGCCTTCTTATACTGACTTGGCTTTAAAATCATATTTCTCACTTCTTATTATCAAAATGATTCATTTTTTCCTAGACAAGACTTCTACAGTACACTGTATAATGGCTTGATACACATCTACATGCCTACAGCTTCTCATACTGGCAAGATTAATGTAACTTTTGCACATTCCTAATTTCTGGTTGCCAAAGTTTTTGTGGCAATATCCCATCATTAGTCTTCTCCAGCCAGATCCTTAACTACTTTGTAACTCTAATGACCCGCTCCTCTAGTTTAGAGTTTCCTACTTTGTGCCACAATAAATGTTTTATTAAAGACCAGATAAAAATCAATACATTTATCCTAAATTGCATTTTAAGGTGGGAAAAAAAAGGATCATTTACTCTGGCATAGTCTACCTATGGATAAACTTATGCTGCGTTTTGTCCAATTTTCCATTCATGGTTTTAATTATTCTTTCCTTTAATATCTGTTCTAAAACTTTACATATCAAAAGACTGGCTGTTTCTTCCGTCAACACACAACACTGTGCTTCAAACACACCAGGGCTGTTACCATTTAGAAAAATAAATAACTTTTGCACATGTTCATATTCTATTAGAACCAAAACCAAGAAACATGCAAAGAATGAAAACACAGTACTTAACTGCTCAGAGTAGAACCTTAAAATCTGTTGGTTTTTTT